TCAAAAACTCGAACCGAACCGATTTCGAGTCGGTTCGGTTCGGTTCGAAACCGAACCGGTCCCATCTGTGAAGTGTGCATCTACGAGTATGTCGAGAATAGGAGTGTCTAAATTTTCGTTCCTAAAGAACATTAATCCACCTAGCAATTCATTTTTTTGGGTGTTTTTGGAATATGCTGGGATGATAAAATACAGCTTTATTTTTATTTTGTGGCAAGTCACTATGAATTCTCAGATTTTGAATTCCTTAATGATGTGACTTTTATATAAATCCTTCACCCACTTTTCTTCCGTTGCATACAGTACATTTGAAGAAACTTGTTGTTTTTTCGCTTATAAGCTTTTGTGAACTCACTGTATGAATACTGTTCAATTTAAGTATATAAGTGTAACTTCTAGTATTTGAATGTGTCTAGTAAGAAAGTGTATTTCTGAAAAAATAACGTTTATCATATGACACTTTCGTTCTTAGTAGTGGATCTGAGTTTTTATTTTCGAGAAAGAGAGAAAGGTGCGACAGGATTTTAGGTAAAAATCGCTTTTCAACGGTTGTTAGCAATACTATAAATTTTTATTGAAGATGAAATAGTATTAAATACGATGTAACAATAAGGGCATTAAAATAAGATTAAAACTATATAGAAATCGTGAAAATCCAGGAGTAATTCAATAATAATAAGAATGTCCTTTGAATATAGTTTAATAAATAACTTAATACATAAGCAAACGATTTATTGTACATTATATTCTGAATTTTTTATTTAGAAAATAATTTATAAACATCCTTTAATCTCTTAATCGTATGAAAGTAAAGAATCATCAAAATCTAATAAAGATTCTATAGTATACGGAGGAGAAGAACATGAATGAGAATTAATTTCTCTTGATGATTGTTCTATTGAATTGACTACAGTAGATAATAATGAGTTAATACATTGATCAATAGAAGTAATAGTACGAGCAGAAACATAAAATTAGTTTTGTTTAAAATACGATCAACTTAAAATTCCTTTGTTTTCTTTCTTGTACGTTATTTTATTTTCTTATATTTGATATTGTATAGTAACTATTGATACCATTCTCTTTCTAATCCATACATTATTCATATCAAAAATTATTCTGAAAAAAGGAAGAACAACCTATCTTTTCTTTTGATGTCAAATAAAGCATTATTATCATAATGATCAATCATTATTTATCTTTCTGGATGATTCTTTTTATAGAATATAATCAAATTTCGAAAGCCAATATCACATGATTATACTTACCTATGGATTTATTCATCCACAAGGTTGAAATATATTTACGTGATCGTATCGATCAGTGAAATATTAAAGATATACAATTTTCAAAATGACTAACGTTCTCGCAATGAATCTACAATCGAATAATTATAGTTATAAAATTTATAATTAAGCCATTTTATCAATCGAAAATTAATTCATATTGAATAAAATGACGATGTCATGTGCGTTCGTACTATCAAGTACGACATAAAACAATTTCTTTCTTTAGACACATTACCTTGATATAAAACAGAATAGTAAAACACGTGTTATTGGCTTGCATTTTCATTTTTTTTCTATCATATTCACTTTTGATTATATATATATAAACGTCTTGTTGTTTTTTTCCTTTCATCCGTTACAAGTCAATCTTAAAAAAATTTATTGAACAATGCCGACACTTTATTATACATTGGATAATGCAGTTTTTCGAAATTTTTTATTTTATGCAGTAGCATCAATTCTTAAAATGATGATAATGTCACCATTAACTAGTCGACAACGATTTGAAAAGAATGTATTTATTGTTTTATTCACAAAGAAAAATATAGTTATATTTTATTTTTCTTTTAAAAGGCATTTGCTAATCCTGAAGATATTCCACTAGATGAGAGAAAAACAATTCAAACAACTACAGCTGATCCAGATGTTGAACGTATTCGTCGTAATCATTTAAATGATATTGAAAATATTATTCCATTTGTATTAATTGGATTTTGCTATATTGCCTGTAATCCTAATCCTACTTTAGCAGTTTGGCATTTTCGTATCTTCTTTGTTTCACGACTTCTTCATACACTTGCCTATCAAGTATTTAGATTTTATTTTATTATAATATTTTATTTTATTTATTCTATTATTAGATTCCATTACGACAACCAAGTAGAGCTTTAAGTTTTTTGGTTGGTTTTATTGTTACTGTATCGATGACTGCTCAAATTCTTTTTCAAGTTTATTAAATAAATGGTGATCTACTCAACGATAAACTTTCATTTTTTTTTATTTTGTTAGTTTTATCCTATTTAATCTCGACTTTTCATTATTTAAAGAACAATTATTATAAAAGATGAAGAATAATTCTTTATATATTACAATAATATTATTAAGAGTATATTTTTCGGTCTAGAAAAAAGTGTATGTTTGAGAGATAATTATAGATCCAAAAGTTTTATTCTGTATTTGTTTTCAAACTTAAATTTCTTCATTCGTGACTTTACGGTGTGATGATTTTTATTTAATATTCATGAATAGAGAATTTTATAATTTACAGTTATTTGAAATAAAGAGTGATGCATATGAAAATCCAATTGAAGGAACTCTATTTATATATGTCAATTTATCTTATACAATGATAAAAAAGATTTCTTTAACGTTAAGTAGACACCGTTGCTTTATATCGTTTAATAAAACAAGGTTTGATCATATAAAAGACTTGTTAAGTAATTTTCATTAATACTAACTTTTCTATCATTCAGTTTCGATAATAAAGATGTTATAAATAATATATATGACCACGTTAGAGTAGTATAGAAAAATTAGTTAAGATAATAAGCATGAATGAAGCATTAATTAGATTTTATTCATTTTTCTGAAATACTCTCATTAACAGAACTAAAAATATCTCTACTTTTTTTTTATAAAACTTGGAGTTATTTTTATTTCAAATTATTGCGACGTGACTATGTCAAACAATTATAACCGATTCATTATTATTACTCTTTCATTTAAACATTTTGCCTCGAGCAAAAAAACCATTTCTCAGATATATCAAAGTTATTCTCAAAGTAAAATGTCGTCGTCGGACGGTTTTCTCACATCATTACAATCAATACAGACAAATTTATTTCGAATCGGTGGTCCAATATTAATGGTATTTGGTGTGGTTAGTTGCATCGTCAGTCTCATTGTTTTCACTCAGAAAAATCTACGAAAAAGTCCATGTTCCATCTATTTGATAGCTGTGAATATCACTAATTTCTTATACATTACTTTATCATTATTATTACTTATATTAACAACTGGCTATGGAATAGATCCTACTAAATCTAATCGCTTCATGTGCCGTTTCAATTATTACACAACCTATTTATTTGGTATTCTCAGTCCATTTTATCTTATCTTAGCTTCAATCGATCGAGTTTTAGTCACATCAACAAATGCTCGAACACGACAAAGAAGTACTCCTCGTTTAGCGTATATT